GGCCATGTCTGACAACTCACTAAAAGTTTTCGAATTGTTGGTTAAGTTTTGTGCTGGTGAGATTAGCTACTACTAATCATGGTGTAAAGTCAAAAATCAAACATAATATCAACGCTGTCCGCGCGTTTCCTTAATGTAACGACCTGGACAGTTTTGTTTCGGCATCATAAAATCATTTCTACGGGTATATAAAAGGTGTATGTCAACATTTTCTAAATAGCGAATGTTTAACTCTTTTGAAAAAAGCTCTAAACAAAAAAAATGATTTGCTGATGATTGTTTTGTCAAGAGACGTTCCACAAGACGTCTCCAAAGTGTGTTGAAACGGACACATTCCAAAACTGACAAAAAAAATTAAAAACAGTTGCTGAGGCTACAAACATTGTGCAACTACAAGATGAAGCCATTTCACGCGAAGTAAACGCAATCCAAAGCAGCTATCCAAAGCAATTATGAAATTCAGTCAGTAATCTACTCGCTCAAGCCAGATTTTCTGAAATTGAAATAAACTTGTTGCTTTTATCATAAAGTATTATTGCCTCTGTCTTAACAGTTTGAACATACGTAAAAGAAGATAATATAATATTTATAATTTATATAAAGATAAATAAAGATAATTGTACAATTGTATACAATTGTACAATTATATAATTATATTTATTTTGGAACGAGGTTTTCATTATAACAAATTTGATTAAATGATTTTGCCCATTTAGCGTTTATTAATTTCTTGAAAAGACATTCAACAACATGTAACTGTTGCAATTCATATTTATTAAAACTTCCAATCATAGTGCGGCTAAAAACGTTGTTTCACAAAGATGTCATCTTCAGAGCCTATAATTTGAAATAACGGAATATAAATTGAATTAAAAATTTTAAATCATAAAAATTATGAAAATACAATTGCCATGAACCGAAATTGGAATAAAAGTGATTACCTTACATAACATGTAAACATGATATAAATATGAATAACAAGCTAAATGGGCAAAATCATTTAATCAAACTTGTTATATAATTCCCAAATTTCCCCACATTATTCCTATGCCATCACAAAGAAAAACAACGGCCCCTAGTCCCCAGCAGGCCTTAAGTGGTCAAGGGGTGCGAAGAATCCTTGGGAAGTATGCAATAGCGGAGGGATGTTGCAGAAAAATTAAGAATGGCCCCTCTATGGTTCTTAGACTTGGAACGCTCAATGTTGGATCACTGACTGGCCGCAGCATGGAAATCGCAGAAATGCTCGAGCGTAAAAGGATTGACATCTGCTGCCTTCAGGAGACCCGATGGAAATCGAATGGTGTTTGTCATATCAACTCAGACAAAGAAAAATATAAACTATTCTGGAATGGTCAAAAGAAGGCCGAAAATGATATTGAAATTTTTGTCAGAGAGCCGCTAGCCCAAGAAGTACTGGATATTAAAAGGATTATTTCACGTCTTATGTGGATCAAGCTTCGCATAGAAAAGCAAACAATGATTATTTTTTCTGCATACGCACCCCAAACAGGCGAATCAGAAGAGATGAAAAATGACTTCTGGACTGCGTACTCTGAAACCATCTCAACAATACCAAAATCTGAAACAATCCTGATTGGAGGCGATCTCAACGTTGAAGAGAAAACAGATGGTTTTGACAACGTATATGGTGGTCTTGGCTATGGAGAATGGAATGAAGATGGCAACCGCATCAACGTACATGGCGGTCTTGGCTATAGAGAATGGAATGAAGATGGCAACAGCATCATCAAAGAGGTTGGAACATCTCATAACATACAAAATTGGACCATCAGCCAAGCAAATTGATTTTTTCGTTGTCAAGCAAAAACACCGAACGCTATTCGAAAATGTCATAGTTATATCTGGAAAATCATGTGTCGCCCAACAAAGACTTCTTGTGGCAGACCTGGTTGTCGAACTGTCACAACATAAATCTAAACAAATGCCTCGGAGAATCAAAACGTAGAAGCTGAAAAGCAATATTTATCGAGAAAAACTTCAACAGATTATTGCCACACAGTTAGACTACCAATCGCAAGCCAGTACAGATTGGAGTAAATACAAAACCGTTTTGATAAACGCTGCAACTACAGTTTGTGGGAAAACCGGTACAAAACATCAGCATAAACAGGACACTTGCTGCTGGAATGACAGTGTACAAAATGCAATAGCTGAAAAGAAAGCTGCATACAAGCAATGGCAAAAATCAAAGTCTGTTGATGACCAACTATGCAAGACGTCAAGTTGCACTGGCTCGGACAGATCAGTGCAGAGAGTGGCTCACTAAAAGCAAAGGTGAACAAATGAAATCTCTGTATCGTGTGGCAAAACAAACAAAGCGTACGAAACAAGACATAGCTGGTGCCTCATGGATCAAAAACGCCAAAAATGAGATGGTTCTTGAACAAAATGAGATCAAGCTACAGTGGAGAAAACATCAACCGTCTGTTAAATAAAACAAATCCCATCAATGCCAATTTTGATGCTCCACTCATTAAAGGTCCAATTCTAGACATCACAATAGAAAAGCCTACAGAAGCTCTGAAAGCTATGAAGGATGGAAAGGCAGCAGGGCTCTCTGGTCTCACAAATGACATTATCAAAGCATCTGGTATTGTAGGTATCCAAACGTTACTACAACTTTGCAGTGAAGTGTGGAGAAATTGCTCAATGCCGACTGAATGGAACTATAGCATGACAGTTCCGCTATACAAAGACAAAAGTGATCCATTGAATTGTTCATCATATCGGGGTAAACGTCTGTTAGAACACACCCTGAAAATTGTCGAGAAAATCATTGTGAGAAGATTAACGTCGTGCATCTCAATCGAAAATTATCAATTTTGTTTATCCTTCTTGCATCAATCCACAACAATAAATTCGAAATAGCAATGTTTTTGAAGCCATCAAGATAAAGAAAGTCACATTGATTCAATATCTAGGGGATGTTCTGAATTGTACTGGAACAGCTGAAGCTGCCGTTCAAGCACGCATACGTGGCTGCCTGGAATAAATGGCATCTTCTTGCCTCTATATTGATGCGGCGTGACATCCCACTACAACTACGATCAAGACTTTATAAATCTGTGAAAATTATCAAAAAAATCATTGAGAGAAGATTAACGTCGTGCGTCACAATCGGAAATTATCAATTTGGTTTCCTAGCGGGGATATCAACAATTGATGCAATTCACATCCTTCAGCAACTGACGAGAAGTACCTCGCAAAACATCAACAACTATCACACATTTTTGTAGACATTGAAAAAGCATTTGATCGAATTCCTTGTGAAGCAATCAGGTGTCGACAACTCATTCCAGAATATCTTGTTCGACTTGTGATGGAAATGTATGCGAATACTAAGACTCTCGTCAGTACAACGGTTGGAAACACAGATGCATTTGATATCAGCGTTGGAGTTCACCAAGGCTCGATTCTCAGTCCACTGTTATTTATAGCTGTGATGGAAGAAATCACAAAACCGATACGCACTGGTGACATTTGGAATCAAATATATGCTGATGATATCGTTTTAACAGCCACGTCTGAGCAGAATGCCGTACAGATGTTTTAAGATTTGAACACCAGACTCGCCGATCATAGATTCAAAGTCAACATCAGCAAAACCAAAGCAATGAACACTGGTGAACCCATCCAATCTACAGCTACTGGACGATGGACATGAAACTGCTCCGTCTTCGGTCGTTTAGTCATGTCAAACGAAGTGGAAACAGTGCCATAACTTCTCTTGCAGATGTTGAAGTACCTGGCACACGTCCCAAAGGCCGTCCAAAAAAGTCCTGGTCGCAAACAATCAAGCAAGACATGAAAGCTCTAAATTTAAATGAAATGGATACAACTGATTGTCTAATTTGGCGCAAAAAATTGATGGCAAAGAAAACAACGTCCTACTTCGGGGAACTGTGTCTCTGGACGCTAAACAAAGATTGATTAATAGGTTGATTGAATCACTTTAATTATTACCATTATCATTATAATTGTTATTAACAGTGGCAGTAGTAGAAGAAGTATTAGTATTAGTCCTACGTCGAAAGAACTGGGTTTCTGGACGCTAAACGATGGTTGATTGATTGTTTGATTGATAAGAGTGGTATTAGCAATAGTAATAGCATTATAAATAATAGTTAAATTATTATCAATAATATAATTATTATAGTTATTATTAAGTAAAATTTTTTTAGTAGAGATAATGTTTACTAGTTTTTGCTGAATATTAATTGTTTTCTTAAAGTTGTCTTAAAAAATACTTATGATGACAGAAATAACTATGGCCCTCAGTATCCGGCAGAAGAGGGTGCGAAAAATCTCCGGAGACCCGGTCCATGGGGTTGCGGTGCAAGACCTTGTGGATAGTCTGGCTACTGGCATCTCACTCTATAGTGTTGCGGTGCAAGGCACTATGTATGGAAGGATTATTTTTAGACCAAGGGGTTGGAGGTTTGGTACCTGGAATGTAGGCACGTTGACAGGAAGGAGTTTGGAAGCGGAGGAAGAGTTGCAGAGGAGAATGGTTGACGTGGCTGCATTACAGGAGATCAGATAGAAAGAAGAAGGTACAAGGTTTGTGGGGGCTTAAAGATGGAAGGTATAAGTTGTGGTGAAAGGAGGATGATGGTACGAGAGGAGTTGGTGCGATGGTAAAAAAAGAGTTGGTGGAGAAAGTGTTGGAAGTGAGGCGGAAAAGCAATGGTGTAATTGTGGTGGTGATGGTGTTTGGAAAGGTATATAGCGAGGGNNTAATATCAGGATATGCTCCGCAACAAAGTAGGAAGGAAGAGGAGAAGGATAGGTTTTATGATGATGTTTCTGACGAGATTGGGCAAGCGGGGTTGGATGAGTTTGTGGTGTTGTTGGGTGATTTGAATGGTCATGTGGGGGCAGATGCAGACGGATATGAAGGTGTACATGGGAGATGGGGATAAGGTATACGGAATGAGGAAGGGCGTAGAGTGTTGGAGTTGGCGGATTCACATAGCATGGTGGTCGGGGATACCTGGTTTACAAGGGAACCAGCACGATTAATTACATATAGGTCAGGAGAACATAGGTCAATGATAGATTATATATTGGTAAGGGCGAAGAATAAAAAATGTGTAAGGAATGTGAAGGCGATACCTGGTATGTTGCAGCATAGTATGGTTGTGATGGATGTGGCATCAAAAGAAATGGAGAGGAGGAAGGAGGGTAAGTTTGTGGCAAAGAGAAATACATGGAAGTTGAAGTTGGCGAATGCACATAGCATGGTGGTCGGGAATACCTGGTTTACAAGGAAACCAGCACAATTAATTACATATAGGAATATGAAGGCGATACTTGGTATGTTGCAGCATAGTATGGTTGTGATGGATGTGACATCAAAAGAAATGGGGAGGAAGTAGAAGGATAAGTTTGTGGCAAAGAGAAAGACATGAAAGTTACAGAATGCAGAGGTGAGGAAGGCATTTGAAGTGAAGATGGCTGAAAGTTGGAAGAGTGGTAAGGATGGAGATGTTTAGGAGAGATATAGGGACTGTGTGTTGGCTACGGCAGATAAAGTATGTGGATGAACGATAGGAAAGTGTAGACATGGTGAGACGTGGTGGTGGGAAGAAGATATCTAAAAGGTTTTGGAAGTCAAAAAGGATAGGTTTAGGGTGTGGAGAAGGGACATGACGGGGGAAGCGAAGTTTGAGTACAGGAAGGCTAAGAAAGTTGCAAAACGGGCAGTGGCAACTGCAATGACGAAAGCATCAGATAGGTTAATGAAAGAAATAGAATTTGATGCGAGTTCGAAGAAAATGTTCAAAGTAGCAAAGCAGTCAATGAGGGATAGGAAAGATGTTACAGGGAATGGATATGTTTGGGATGGATCTGGCAAGTTGTGCATAGATGAGAGGAAAAAGTTCAGGTGTGGAAAGCCCATATGGAAAGGTTGATGAATGAAGAGAATGAGTGGGATGGAGTTGTGAAATCCGCGGTCACACACGTACCCATAGAGAAGATGACAATGGAGGAAGTAGAAAAAGCAGTTAGAGAAATGAAATTAGGTAAATTGACAGGGGTTTCGGAAGTGGCGGCGAAACATATAAAGGCGAGTGGGGTGATAGGAATTGAAATTATGATAAAAATTGTTAACAGTGTGTTGAGGATGAAGGTATACCTGAGGATTGGCTACACAGTGTGTTGGTGCCGTTGTATAAGGGCAAAGGAGATGTGAGAGATTGTGGTCATATAGGGGTGTGAAATTGCTAGAGTATGGAATGAAGGTAGTGGAGAGGGTGCATGAGAAAAAGTTGAAAAATATGGTGACAGTTAATGAAATGCAGGGTGGGTTTATGCTTGGTAGGGGAACGGTGGATGCGTTGTTCACAGTGAGAATGTTGCAGGAGAATTATAGAAAGAAGAAACAAAGATTGTACATGTGTTTTGTGGATCTAGAAAAGGCTTTTGATCGAGTACCGAAGAAAGTCATTGAATGGGCGTTGAGGAAGAAAGGCGTGAATGAGAGACTTGTTAAAGCTGTGATGCAGCTGTATCAAGGGGCGAAAACAAAGGTGAGGGTCGGAAGGGGGATGTCGGACGCTTTTAGTGTTAAGGTAGGAATGCATCAAGGATCAGTGTTATCACCGTTTCTGTTTGCAATTGTGATGGACGTTGTGTGTGGAAAAATAATGGAGGAGTTGTTATTTGAGATTTTGTATGCAGATAATTTAGTCTTGATGGCTGATAGCATGGAAGAATTGCAGTTAAAATTTGACAGATGGAAAAATGTTATTGAAAAGAAAGGTAAGACGAAAATAATGGTGAGTAGGGAAGGTAAGGAGCGAGTCATAAGTAAAATAGACCCCTGTGGGTTATGTGACAGGAGAGTGAAGGCTAATTCGGTATTGTGTATAGGATGTCAGAAGTGGGTGCATAAGAAATGTAGTGGTGTGAGGGGGGCACTGAAAAAGGCGGAAGGCACGTTCAAATGTAAAAAATATGTTCATGGTGTGATTAATAGGACGGACTCAAGAACGGGGTTGAGTGGTGGTATTGAAAGAATGGAAAGCTTTGTTTATTTAGGGGATAAGCTAAACGCGGATGGAGGATGTTTGAGCGCTGTTATGGTTAGAGTTCGTGTGGGATGGATAAAATTTAGGGAACTAGGTGGGGTATTGTGTGGAAAGAAATGGTCAGTGAAGATGAAAGGGAGTGTATATAAAGCATGTGTGAGAGCAGCGATGGTATATGGTGGTGAAACTTGGGTGTTGATGAGAGAAGAGGAAAGTGTACTGCAGAGGGCTGAAAGAGCTATGGTGAGGATGATGTGTGAGGTTAAAGTGAGGAGTAGTACAGAGCTGATGTCAATGATGGGACTGAATGAGGACATTGTGACATTGATAAGGAGATCGAGATTGCGGTGGTATGGACGTGTGTTGAGAAGGGATGAAAGGGTCGGGATTAGGTGAGCGTTGGAGTTCGAGGTTGAAGGAGTGATAAGGAGTGCTCGAGATGGAGAGAATAGGTGGAGAAAGACATAGTGAAAGCGGAGTTGCGTGATACTGAGGCGAGTGACAGATGTGAATGGCGTCGAGGGGTATTTCGGTTTACCTCATAGGTAGCCAAACGGCAACCCCGATCTCGGAGAAAATGTCGTTTAAACGTGTGTTGTTGTTGTTGTCTTTAAATAATGATTTGGCTATTTTTAGTTCAAAGAATTTATTATTACGGTATAAAATTTTAATATTATTATCTAAAATGTTCTATTTAGCATTATATAATGATTACTTATTAAGTTTTTTTTAATAGAACCATTTTGGTTGTGCATTGTTAAACTGCGTCACAGAGTAGTTGCAGCCATTCCGATATATTTGGTTGAACGGTGTCCACACGCACCAAATCTACAATTAAATGCATATATCAGATGACTACAACTCATCTGTGACTCAGTTTTAACGTTGCAATTATTTTTTCAAATTAAATTGGAGGCTATATTGTTTCTATAATATATTCTTAACTTGAAATTAATGTTACAATGTTGTTGTTGTTGTTGTCTTTAAATAATGATTTGGCTACTTTTCCATTAGTTTTAATTATTTTTCTTATAATTTGTTCATCAATTTTATATGAAGTCGACATTATGTTTTTATAATAAACAATATTGTTTTTAGGAGAAGAACTTAAGTTATTATCATCATTATTATGATTATTAGTAGAGGTATTAGTATCAGTAAAGATAGTATTAGTAGTAGAATTAGTATCTGTAATAGAAGTATTAATAGTGGTGGTAACAACATCAATAGCAATATTAATTATGGTGTCAACTACATTATTATTTTTATTATTAAAATAATAATATTTATTATTATTATTAGTAGTATTAACATTTCAATTAATAATAATATAGATAATAGAGTTAATAAAAAGAACAATATTTCTACTGTAATAGTTGTAGATAATAATATAGTTCCTGAAATTATTTCAAATTTCATTCGAACTAATAATAATTAAGATAATAGAGTTGTAAATACCAATATTTCTGACAATATCTACCTATCTAAAAATATTTCGAACAATAATATTTCAACGATGAACTTTGAAAATATGCTGCCTTGTTGCTGCGGAAAATACTTCAAAGGTAGGAAAGGTCTAATAATGCATCATAGATCATGCAACACCTTCAAGACATGTCGAACAATCAACTCGCTCGATGAAGAAAGTGATGAAGCCAACGAACCACAAACTTTTCAACACAAATCCACCCCGCCAGCAACTTCGCACCCTCTTCCGGTATCACACTGCCAAAAACCAGACAACAATGGGCAGAGGCGAACGCATATTTCCACCACAATCTATACAATCTAAACAATATCGACGACATTGACAACTTCACCCTATCATTTCGAAATTCAATCTACCAATATTTTGCCGAAACATATGGCACGTTAAAACTCAAAAAATCTATAAACGAAAACACCAACATCAATCATATTAAAAAAATCTGAAAACTCTCGGTCGCAACAATGATAACTATATCAATGAAATAGAAACCATGAGCAAACTAATCAGATCAAAACTTAAACGGGCATAGCTGGCCAAACCTGGCGGTCGATAAGATATATAGAACCAATAGTCAAACAACTTTCAGCGAACATGTAAGAAAAAGTTTTTACCAACTGCAGCCCCCTCTATTCGATGTTGAAAAAGGTAGTGAATACTTTAGCAACGTGATGATGAAGGGTGTTTCCATCCTTTCCTTCGCCAAAGTTTAATGACAACACTGACCCTCCTACGAATGAAAAAATATCGACAATCATACGCAAAAGTAAATCCAGAGTTTCTCCATGCCCGCTAGACCAGATGTTGATTATAATTTTTAAAAAATGTCCAATTCTTAGAACCTTCCTTTGCAGGCTGCTATCAAAATGTTGGGTCTCATCGATAATTCCAGATTGCTGGAGGAGAGGCTTAAAGATCCTGATTTACCAAAAAGGTGACGCCTGTGACCTCGCAAATTTTAGACCTATAACCTTACAACCCGTCCTGTACAAAGTTTTATCCCCACTTATAAAAAAGACTCTACCGATTTTTTCAACAAAATGAATTTATCAACATCAGCACCAAAAAAGGGTTTAACCTTAAAGTCGACGGCTTAGCAAGAACATACTCACACAAGAACATACTCACATGTTAACACACCTGCTTAAAGATGCCAGAAAAACTAGCAAACCGTTATCGTTGCATTACTCGACCTAAGAAATGCCTTCGGTGAAGTAAATCATTTCCTCATCAGTTCAATTTTATTATTCCACCATGTTCCACAACAGTTTAATTCATTAATTATGTCAATATATTCAAACTACTCAATACAAGTTTCCATCAACATCAAACTAACGCCGACTCTGCCGGACGAGAGGGGGGGGGTCCTCCAGGGGGATCCATGCTCTCCACTACTCTTCAACCTTTGTTTCCACTTGCTGATGAAGGTTCTAGAAACTCAAGAGTATGAGGGTTGCGGTTACTTCTGGAGGCCAACTTCAGGGCTAAAAGCCAAATCCTGGCTCCACTTTGCCAACGACTCGGCATTAATTGCCCATAGTAGAGAAAGTGCCCAGAAGCTAATTGATCTGAATTACGCTTGGTGTAAGTGGTCAAACATGCAGATGCAAATAGACAAATGTAGCTCATTTGGCATGAGGAAAAAAAGATGGACCATACGAACAGTTTTCTCCAAGACTGACGATCGATGATGAGGTGATTCCCGATAAACAAATTGGTGATAGCTTTGTCTATTCGTGCAAATCATATGATTTTAAGAGCAAAGACAAAAAAGCCAAAGAAGCAATTGTTTCAAAACTGACCAGTTTCTTGAAAACTCCGTTGCGATAACATTTCATGACTGG